TTGTCTGAACATTTCCACTGCAGTTTAACACATATGTATTGCTTGTTCTTTTAAATAATGCTTTAGGACTAATAGTGTAAAAGATAACTGCAGTTACATGCAGCTTGAAGAGAAATAAAGCAAGTTTATACAATTTTAGAACACGTTCTAACTTCAGTTTCTATGCATAATGCCTTCTTCACACACAACTCTGAATGTCATGGACTATTGTTCTGTATGGCATGATGGGCTAGATGTTCAAGGTGCATTGGGTGACATTTGGCCTAAAGTACTACATATAGGAAAACCTGTCCTACTAATCTGTCAGTACTTACTGTCCTTTTGGATAAACTTTACTTACTTATCCTTTTGGATGAACTGATCTGGCTTCAAGACACTGAAATTCTATACATTAAAAACAAACAAAAATCTTCCCTCTCTCCTTTTCCTCATACTATCTTCCATCTCTTACTCTTGACATTCTTCCCACCCTTTAACACATTGTTGACAATACCTACAGACAGAAGATGGGCCAAGTCTGTTAGGTCTATCAACCAATCCCTCTCCTATCATTCAGGTAGTTCAATGTTACCTGTGGGGAAGTATAAAGGGAAGAAATACAGGAAATATGTTCCCACAAGTGGTTAGCACAAATTATAGAAAAATAAAAAGCTGAAAATCTTATCACCAAATAGATAAAATGCTGGTGTCATGCTGAGGAAAGACAAGGGGAATAAAGGCCAAGCAGCTAAATCTGATACTAATAGGTCAAGATTTGTCAAGTATCAATGGTATTTGATAAATAGAGACAGATTCTACACCTAAATTTCATACCAAGAAGAGCTGGGTTTTCAATCTTCGCCTTGACAAAAGAAAATATTACCACAAATATACTACAGTAACAAAATTAATTTATTGTGAATCACTAGCATTCAACTACCATTCACAGATGTACATGTAGCTTAAATATCATTGATATTTGAAATAGCTATACCAATGTTTGCACTACAAAGCCTGCACCCAAAAATAACTGCTAGTATTCAAAGGGTTTCAAAGGAAATCTCCACCTGGTTATAAGTAGTATTTTATTTGGAACAATTGGAAAGCCAATATTGTACATTTTTTGGATCAATTGTTGTTCTCTGCAGTAGTAGTGAGGAACTGTCAGTTGCATTGCTGGAAATGATCCTTATAATGTAACCTCAATCAAAAGATATAATAATAACATTGATTTCAAATCCAGCTGTTAGTTTTCCAATAAACTCCAGACAAAACTGCTGCTATTTTTTCTCCATGAATCATATTTTGACTGTGATCTCTTTGTGCGACTGCATCCTACTGGGTTATTAGTAAAAAGAACACAACTTACAGCTTTTCTCCTGGTTTTCATTTAGTCAAATTTTGTATTATTTCCTTGACCTTAATAACAGAATCTAACCTTTCATTTATTTAACCTCAGTCAGAGAGGAAAAAATGTTTTCATAGTCCAGAGAAGAAATCTGAATAAATTGGTACAGTGAGTATAAAGTCCACAGGGTAATGTGTAAATGTAGATTCTGCTTTTCATTATAAAATACAGCCATGAAGTACTTATATGTAAAAGCTGCACTAAATTTTAACAATACACCACGTTGCAAATCTATATTTTAAAGTGCTGGGATGTTTTCTGCTACCAAATAAATTTTTATCTGTGAAACAGAAATATGGCCTCAGAAGCCTATAAATATGGGCTTTCCTTGCCTTGGAAGGTTGTGAGATTTATCTAAATATGAATTGTAGGTAACAGCAAGGACACACTGTAACTTACCATGATTAGGTGAAGATAGTTTCATCTAGAGAACTGTTTTCTTGTATTACAGGAGTCATCTTTGTGGGAGGATAGAAAAGAACAATGTAATGTATAAAACACCAGGAAAATAAAACAACACTCCACTCTGGTTTTTTCAGTACTTCAAAGTGAATGAATCCCCATTTTATATTGCAGGGTGATATATATAGTAAACATCTGTGTGATGGGGCATATGTAGCAAATGTTATTTAAACTAAAAAATCATGCAAATTCACAAGGACAATATTTTTTACTTATTTGACTCTTCTATCACTGTTAAAAATGGTTTGTGCCTTCAACAGCATTTCTCATCCAGCAGCCTCAATATGTATGTTGTAAAGATTAATGGATGAGGTGTTTAGAGTTAATGATCTGTATCATATTGCATCCATTTAGCTAAAAATATATAATCCCACACAGTTTGGTTTATATTGACTCTTATTCAAGAACTACATCTTTGAAAGGCCATCATGCTCTCCTGACAGGTTAGAAGATGAGAATAAATAAGACAATATACTCAGCCTTCTGTTTTATAGATAAAGTGTACAGGCTATGTGATAGTTTTACTTCTTATATTTTACAGTGATATTAGACTTATTTATTACCAAATTACCGTCACATTGCATTTTATCACTTGAACTTTTTGGGCTTTGGAAACATTTGTAGTTCATTTTATTTCTGCTAGCATAAATGTATTCTGTATCTGAGTGTGCATGAGTATATATTCTGAATAAATACATCTTGTTTCAATGATTTTTATGCATCCCTACCAAATGCATCCTTTTATGTCTACAGAATGAGATTCACCTCAAAGTAACAGTTACCAAAAGATATGATGCAATTTTAAATAAAATAATTGCAAGGAGACTTAGACAGTACTAGATGTAGTTTTTGGAAGAAGAAAGATTTAGTATGTTTCCTGAGCTCAGAGCTGTCCTGTGTTTCTTGGTTAATGCTGCCTCTTAGGATTACACTGCTTTGCTTCAAGTCAGCTGAAGAAAAGTCATGGGTAGTTTGTGTTTGCTATTTCCCCACCTGTGTTGGGTCAGCAGGGCTGGACTGGAAATGCCTCATTCAGAGAGGAGACATTTTCATCAAGTATCAAAAGAAAGGCTGTAAAATGAACAGTGGTATTCATTTTGTGGCCTTTGTACTTTTTTTCATCTTTATCATGTCTAAAATAATCTGTAACCTCAAGTAAACTACTCTCAATAAGAGCAGATAGATTTCACAAAGTAACTACTGTAGGGTTTCACCTAAAATATGTTCTGTCTCCACAGCCTGTGGTCCAACATTTATATTTATCACATAATAAGTTCCAGGTGTTGAACACATGAACAGGAACATGCATCTAGGCAGTGTAGAACAAACTATCTGCAGGGTCCTAAATATTCTTTTATGGATCATCTGTGCTCTCAGCAGAACCAACACCACTGATACCTAAGCGTGATGCCAGGCAGGAATTATGGTAATTTTTTGAGATATTGATCTATCTCAAAATATCCTTTTACCTCAGGAGAACCAAAAGTTTTCCTATGGAAAAAGGAAAAATCCTCAAATTACTCTCTAACCGATAATGAAAATCACTTTTCACAGTGGTTGGACTGGGTTAGCTGTGGAGATCTACAAGTATCTGCAAGAGAACTGGTGTGCCTCAACTTATTTATTAATGATCCAGAAAGAGCCTCTGCAGTGACAGAATGAAATTTGCTGATGTGATCAAAGTATTCAAGGTACTAAAGACAATATCTGCAAAAGGCTCAAAAGGATCTTATCATACAGAGTGACTGAAAAGTAAGAGTGACAGATAAAACTCCGCATTAATAAATTCAAAGTGATGTATCTAGAAGAAAATCAATTTTAACCATATGGATACACCAATGGCATATAAATTAGCCAGCACTCAGAAAAGAAATATTAATGTTTTTGTGGGCAGACAATAAAAGGGTTACCTTAAAAAAAGGATGATGATAATAAAAAGGATTATGAATTGTAAAAAAGAATTAAAGTGCTCATCAGAAATTACCACTGGTGTCACTGCACCATCGTCCCTTGATTTACCTGTACCTTGAATATCGCCTGCATGTTTGTTTTCTTTACCTTAAAAAAGATATAGCAGAATTAAGACGACTTAATGAAGATTCACAATTATGATTAGATCTATTAATAGATTCTCTTCTGTGAAGGGAGAGAGTAAATAAGACAGGATATTTTAATTTGGAAAAGAGATGTCCCAAGTAAAATATGATAGAAAATTATTAAAAATTTTTAGAACAGAACAATGATAGATAGCTATTTTAGTTTTATAACAAAATAATAGGGAACATATTGTTAAGAAACAAATATAAAACTACTCAGAGTACTTATCACACAGAAGGCATAAGAAATTGTTCACTGCTGCACAATATTCTTGAGTAACAAAGAAGGTATTTGTTTGGGTCAGTGGGGTTTTTTGAACAGCACTATTTGAAGAAAAAAATCACCAATTGCTACTAAACAGCAGACTCTATCTCAGCAGCTCCATTAGCCAGAGATTGCTGTAGAAATAAGTCTATCAGAGACAGTTTGACTGAACTCTTGATCTGTCCTCACAGTCTTTGCTTCAGCTTTTAATGAAGCAGGTTGCATGTTGTGCTTTTTCCATACACTGCCTTATTGACAAGTTCTCAGCAAGATAAACGTTTGCTTTCCAAAGTATGAGCATACTTTCCAGTGCATTAGGAGGAACTACTGCTTAATACCAGAGATTACATCAGTTCTACAGATTTTTAAATGATCTCAGCTGAAGAAGCCTATGTCTGACAAGGCAATTGCTGTAGGTGTCACTATAAACAGTGCCTGACACCAGCTCTAAATAAATCACTGAAATTACTTCCATTCCTGTTCTTCAACAGGCTTATATCTTAACACACTAGAACCAGCCATGCAGGCCCATATTCAAAAAACAGGGACCATTTAAAGATGCATGTCTAGTCACGATAAGGGACTAAGGGATGCTAAGCGATGGATAGAGTGGTACTTCCAGGCCACTTGGTGGAACACCAGTTTGGAAGAAGGAACTGTGTGATCACTCACCTCTAATTTCCCTAGTTTGTGAGGCACAGACCATGTCAGAGTATTGACACACAGGTCAGAGAGCTGCAGCTTTTCAAGCTTTGATGAGCCACACTTCCTGCTCTGGCAGGCTCTGCCTCTGAGCCTTTGTGCTCCTGATACAGAAATGACATGTGAGAGAGACTGGGACAGGGGCTTGGGAAGGTGTTCCTGTGTTTCACAGATAGCTGCAGTTTGCACATGCACAGGAAGGCCATACCTGAGAAGTTAGAAGACAGTGGAAAAGATATAGTCCTCATTTGCCAAGGTACAGAGCAACATGGGAAGTCAGGGGACAATGCAACTCCTGGCCAGGTGACATTTTGGAACTCTGCTTTAGTCCAGCCAGTCCAGTCTTCTGTAATCCTGAAAAACACAGGTGCTTACAGCAGAAGAAAGAAGAATGTTCATAGAAAACAGCAAATTTCAGCAGAAACTTCCCTAACACTTGTCCATGACTTCTTACTCACCTCTAGATGGAAAATCTCTTCAAAAAACAATCATACACTTATCTCCTTCCTGACCAGCAAAATCAAAATTCATTCAAATAACCCTAACAACCACTGCAGATGATGTGATCTGTTGGATTTTTCCTTGTTCATTTACATGAGCTGCTGAGAACTCCAAAGGGTCTGGAAATGGTGATAAAGGGGAGCAGAACATTTTCAATGTGTTTTCTGACAGAAGACAACCTGAGCAGGATATATCAATTAATGGAAAGACTGAAAACCTTTTGACTGAAAGAAGTTTGCTTTCCCAGTGAGGGGGTCCACTCTGCTGGCAATATGCCTGGGTAGACTGTAGTGTTCAGCAGAGTGTTGACAGTCAGCCTCATTACAGGCCTTGCTCCCAGACTGCTAATTAAAGAATGTTCACTGCTTCCTGTAACCCCACATATAAATGGTGGAATGGAGTCATGCCTGGGGGCCTTGACTCACATTTGCCTCTATTTTCTTCTTCTGCTCAAGAAACAAATGCAAGTTCTCCCTAAATTAAGAAATGAGCCTTGATGAGGGAAATTATTATGCATTCTGCCATGCAACATCCCCATGGAAAACTCATCCTGTGTCATTCTTGCTGCTTGGCAATATTTCTTTTTCTCTTCTACAATCGCACAAGTGTGTAAAACTTCTGATACTGCTCTACAGCAATTTCCCTTTTCTTTCTATTTTCTCATGTCCTGCTTGTTTCTTGATGTATTGTATCTTTTTCACTATAGCAGGGACAGAAAATTGAAGCAAAATTGGTGAAGAACTTGTCTTATCAGAAATGTCATTGGCTACAGATGTTTGGTACAAACCAGCACTATTTGCTTTTCTGAGGATCATGAGATTCATATGTGGTGGAAAAGCTGAGCTATGGCAGGGTAGAAAACACCTGAGTCCATAAAAGTGATGGAAGGAGAAAGAGGAGGGACAGGAGCATAAATCAACAGTGAAAGAATAAACTGCCAGCAATACTAATCTTTTCCTTGCTAAGTGGCTGCTTACCACAAAACACCAGGGACTTTTAAAAGTGGTGATTTTGTGGAATTTTAACTGAAAATAAGTAGCAAATTTCACTGTGCATAGGCTGCTCCTCATTCCTTTTTGCATTCATGTGGTAGACTTTCAGGAAGGAATTTTCCATTTAATTTTCTTCTCATTCATGCTTCTGTCCAACAACTTTACCTGTACTCCTAGGCAAAGTGACACTGGAGGAGAAATAATTCCATTGCTGTGAACACTCTCCAAAGAGGAGCAGATGAATGACTCCCAAACCAGCTGCCCTGAGAAGCACAGAAATCCCACTTGGATGGGGCAGGTGGACAGGCTGGAGTCTCTTGGCTTTTATCTGCTCTTTACATACTTTTTCTCCAATGGCGTTGGGATAGTTTGATCCCAGATCTCTCTGTGTTCAGTGAGGAACTGCATCGTGTCAGACACCATCCTCTAGGTCTGCATTGCCCAAGAGCTGCTGCACCCAGGGAATACATTCCTGCTGTAATGTGGTGCTGCGATGCTTCTTCAAGCAGAATAAATCTGTTTGGGGTTTATGATAAGAAATAATGTGCAGCATGCTCAACTATGTTCACACTATTTTAAGTGCATTTCATAAAACTTTATGATTTGATACTTTCATGGTTGGACTGGAGGGTTTGAGGAAAGGCCCTGTGAGTGATGGGAGGCCTGTGAAGATGAGCAAATGTGGTAGCTTACACTGCCAGGAGCTGGGACTGGGACTCAGTTTTGTAGTAATTCCCCTGGAGCAGCGGTTTGATATTAGTTTAGAACTTCTATCTGCTCACATTTAAATTAATCTAGAAAAAGCTGACAAGCAGCAAAGAGAAAAAGAAGGCAAAATGAGGAAGGTCTGAGCTTATGCACAGAGAGCCATTAGCATTCCACACTGAAAACTTTATCATGCACAGATCCCTTAATATTACTTCCATATGTTATAGAAAAGGAAGAAATGAAAGAAATTAAATTTGACCACAGCAGAAAGAGATTTTTAGAAGCATAAATATAAAATTGAACTTAAAATTTAGATACAAATGAAATATTTATATCAGTATATCTGAATTACCTCTATGTTTTCTGAATAAATATTATGGCAAGGACGATATCAACATTGCAAGTTCTAGTCTAGTCTATCACTACAACTGCTGGCTAATTTTGTTTGAATGTTACTCTGTCATCAGAGTATGGTTCAATTACAGTTATATACATAAACATAGCTGTTGCTTAGCATTTAGAATACTCCTGCCTTATGTTCACTGATTATTTTTTTTTTGTCAAATATTTCTCTATGTCCTTTCAGCTCCCCTGGTGAATTATTATAATCAACATCACCATCAGGTCTTTCTGCTGCTTTTAGCTCTAATTTTATTTTCAACTTTAACCTTTTGTTGCTTTTTGCTCATCTGCACAGACTGAAGAGAAGTCATGAGGCTTCTTCCTGTAAATCCCTCTGGAATTAACCTTTCTGCCCTCCCCAGACTATTAACTAATATATTCACCTTTTCTCCTTAAACTGGAATCATTGCTATCTCCTTGTCTGTGGTCATCACATCTAAAAACTCATCCTTAAAGTCTACTGCAGACTCTAAAAATCGCTAAAGAATTTCCTTGCTTCTTGGGCCAGATGATACAGTTTACATGCCCCAATCTTTGATTTCCACTGCATGAGAAAAGGGTTTCTGGTCCCTGTCACAAGGCCTCTCAAGGCTGATCTTGCATTGATTGCAGAGCAATTCTCGATGCAGTGATGCTAAACGTGCATGACCTGGGATTTTCTACTGCTCTGAGGAATATCTTCAAAACCTTTTCCCACCTCATGGTTTTAGATCTACAAAATCCACTTTATCCTCTCTCATGTTGTTCTCATCTCTTCCATGCTGCAAGCAGGAGTCTGATTCACCAGGAAGGGAAGTATAGCTGGTGCTGCTGGAGGCCAAAGACTGAACACAATTCCTTTTCGAACTGATTTGTCTTTGCAATCCTGTCATCTGTCTCACCTCCTTTTAGCTTGCAAATCCATTATTTGCAAGTTCAGGGTCTATGATTTACAATACATTTATAACAGCTGGTATGTGCCGTGTTTGGCTTTCAGTAGCAATTTAAATTACCTGTATTTTTTTGCAGAGTTTTGGTTTACTTTTCCATAGCCTAAGAGGATGAGAGGTTTGCATGTGATAAAGCATTCTTTACATTTTCCCTCTTTTTTAGTTGGCAATGACAATCAACATAAACACTCCCAGAAAACTTTATTTTTTACCATTTACTCTAGTTTCCTAGGATTTTTTTTCCATCTAGAAAGACACAGATGACTAAGCCCATTTTAGATGTGATGGTATAAAACTACAATTGCTTTTTATTTTCATTTTCCTACCCAGTGATGTATCAGCAATGTGAAGAGTAAAATTCCAGAGTCCATGCCATAAAATGAAAAGAGGACAGGTAAAACAAAAGCAGACAGAAGGAAATGAACAAATACACACCAAAGATGGAAATAAAGGATAGAATTACCTTTCGATATGCTATTCTGAGAAGTCCCTGATGTAGATGGAATTATTTTCTTTCCATGGAATCCTACAGAATCACAGAAGTTTGCCTACTTGTTAAATACAAAAGGTTAAGTAAAGTGTTAGAAAGCTAATTCAAAATTCAAGACTAATTTAGGTTTCCTGAAATAATCATTATGACCACGGCACTAGCCTCTTCTTACATATTTGCCTAAATAATAGTTATAATAAAGTTAAATAATTTAAAAACCTTTCCTGTCAGGAGAGGATTTTATGCTCAGTCCTGAAGAATGGTACCTGAATGCTCAAGTAAAGGGCATGCCTACGAGATAATAAATTGATTAATTGATACAGAAAAGCTGAATTAGGAATTTGAAAATGCCTTGAAAGATTAAGACTGTTTTAGAGGGGGAAAACTGAACACAGTTAAGGAAGATTGCAAATTACAGAAAGAAGAGTCTGAAAGAACACATGCCTAGTATAAAAGATGGACTAAAAGGGATAGAAAGGAAAGCAGATGAAAAGAACCTTATAGACATAGTAAGCCATTATAGCTCTTTTGTTTTATGGAGGGTTAGATTTTGCCATTTCCCATTGTCATGGTGGATTTAGCCACTCTCAATAAAACACGAGGCTGCAGTGCGGGCCCTTGAGCAGGTGCAGCTGTGGCACTGGTCCCCCAGCCCCCAGAGGGAGGATGCTGGTGCTGGGCAGTGTGAGCAGAGCTCCTCTCTGGGCACCAGCATTGCCCGGAGCTCTGGCTGTGGAACTGCCAGTGCTGGGACAGGACAGTGTCACTGGGGACACTGCTGGGCTGCCTGCATTCCTGCAGCTTTCTCTGGTCTGCCTTTTACCCCCCTTGCAGTGTGAGGGGCTTCTGGTGATACTCAGCCAAACTGGTGGGTGCAGATGCTCTGGCTCCTGATGATGCTCAAGTCCTGCACAGCCCCAGGACACACCAGCTCCTGCCAGCGCAGCGTGAAGGCAGCTTAGAGCTGCCAAGAGTTTCCAAGGTCCTCTGTCAGTCAGCCTAGATAAAACGGGCCTCTCCAGGAAGGATATAATCAGGCTTCTTATCCTCACTTTGAAAGTAGACAGTAATTTTAGAAATTCTCTAAAACATATCCCAAATTTTTGTATTGACTGCTACATTGCTTTGGAGAAAATAACTTCTCTCAGAGCCAAGAGGGTTTTAACTTTTACTTATGAATGACTTCATACCTGACTTGAGTATTTTTAAATGTATGTGCCTCTAAGGTTGAAGACGTAAAATCTAAAATAATTACAAAGCCTTGTAGCCAAAAGGAAAAAAATATATTAGAATTGGACTTCTGTGCTGGAACTTTAACCTATCAGAATTACATCAGGCTCAGGTTTTCACACTGGCCAGGGACATGCTATAGCATGCTGAATAGGATTCTTTATCTAACAGTGACACCTTAGAGTGTTAAATTACAAAATAATTTTCAAGTCCAGCTCCTGGAAAAAATGCCTCCACTTGGGTTAGTCACAGTTCACAAGCAGGAGCAATTTTACCATTTTATACTTTCAGTGACATCTCCTTTTAATATTTTTTTAAAAAACCCCGTCTCCTAGAGTTTTTGTCCTATGCTGTTGCTTGAGGATTTAAACTTTAAATGTCAAAGTCTATCAGGAATGAAAATGTTCCTCTGGAAAGGTGAATCAACTCATGCATTAAGGAAACCATGACACGAATAAAACCTTCATGTTCAGAAAAAACTAAATCTGGGTCTATTGATAAAATAAATGCTTAGTTCCAGTGTTTGATTTTCAGCCATAATCAACATGATGGGACTGATCATACAGGCAAAGATAAAAGCAAGAATAAATGCTTTTGAGAGGCACTTAGAGGCAAGAAACAATTTTTTGCAAAGTAGAGTGATAATAATTAACAGATAATTAATAAATTGAATAAGTATTCTCATATGGGGTGAAATAAGGATTTATTTTAAATAAAGCATATTATTCTTATGACTCATACTGGGGGGGTTTAAAACAATTTAATATTTTAGAAGAGCCACTCAGGGTCTCTCAAGGATGTAGGAACATATGAAGAGAGATCCTGATGGGAAATAATTTAAGTTAAGCAGTACAGTGTCACCAGAGTGAACTTTTTTTCCCTAGAAGTGATGACAATTTTTTCACCTATTTTAATCCAAAAATCTACCGTTCTTCATTTCTTCACAAACAGAACCAGAGATGTAACTCTAATCACAGAATTAAGTAATTTTATATTTATAATGGGTAGTTTCACTGCAGTAAATTTTGGAATGTAAATTACTGTCTGACTTCATTATTATATAATTACACTCTAATGGTCTAGATTGGATACAGTGTTTGATTGTACTGCTTACACTACACTTAATAAACATTATTTCATTTAAAAGATTAGATATGAAATATCTATTAAGAAATATTAATGAACGTAAAATAGTATCTCTAATACATAGTGGAGCATCATATTTCACATAACAATGTAATACAGAGAAATATCTTAGCTGATGAAAATTGAAAATTTGCCCAAACACTGACTACTGTTATTAAGTTCTAACTGGTGCTAGTTAGCAAGATGAATCTCACTAAGTTGATGCCAGTTTGCTGTGGCTGTGCCAAGAGGCAATGTCAGCAAGGAAGAGACACACAGTCTGCATTTGAGATGAGGATGCAAAGTGAGAAAGTCAGAGAGCCTCTGGAGCTCCCCTGCATCTCTGCCTCCCTGCTGAGAGGGCCAGGGGAGGATTGCTGCTTCCTGCCTTTGCTCAGCATCAGGCTCCTACCATCCCAAGCTCACAGATGATCAAATGAGCTGTATTCTGCTCCTTAGTGTGTGCAGGGGTTATATCTGTTTATATTTACTGGATGTACCCCTGAAGACTTGGGTCTAGAAGTACTGCAAGCATAATAGACATAAAAATAAACATAAATCTAAGATGTTACATAACCATAAAATCTATGAGGCTGCTTACATCTCAGCAAGAACTTGGTGACCTAGTAAAAGTTACATCTGTGTCTGTATTTGAACATTTCACTGAATGAAGATTGTTCCCCACATCGTGACCTATTAAAAATTATCCAGCCAATGGCTTCAGTCTTTTTTTCAGTTCTACCACTATATTTAGGTATGTATAGGATCCAAGTAGGGTAAAAATATCTGGTAATTGCTGTAACTTTATCTACTCCAGCCAGATCTACCAGAGCTTGTTTGCTTAGAGCTTTTGGGCACCAGACTGACCTCCCTGTCTTCAGTGTCATTCTGGGAACTTTGCCCTTCTGTCACATTCTTTCCATTTTTCATCCTTTGCCTGCACTTTGGACCCTTTCCAACAGGAGTGGACCAGCTGCTTGATGTGCCTTAGCACAGAACAAAGCATGGCCACTTTGCCTATTATTTCAGTTTGTTCTTGTTATTTTCTTTTAAAATTGCTACCTGGGGAGAAGGGAAGAAAAATGCTATTTGGGGACCTGGAATATGCTCTAGGTCACGACTCTAAAGCACAGTACTGCAGCTTTTGCAGTCAATCACAAGTGCACATTGTAACAGAGAAAATGAAGGCAGAAATCTCACTGCATCCCCCAGTGCCTGGGCAATCCCTCTGCGGAAAACCAGCCATAGTACACACTGACACTCGCCAGCTTGGATAAATGCTGTGTTTTGTGATCACATGGACAACCACAAGGATTTCCAGCCTCAGATGTGGGATGTAATAGCAACAGAGAAGTCATTTATGTATATAATTTGCAGCATGCTGTAGGCTATTCATCTCCCTGCTTCCCTCTCTGACCCTGTGAGGTTTAAAAGGCTGATATACATTTTACATCCTTCTGTCACGCATGAGGTAAAGAGCATAGAAAACCTCAGTATTCTCAGGTCTAGGACTTGTATGACCCTGCAGACCCCAGCACCATTCCCTGGGTTCACAACAAGTTCAAGTCTCCAACTTTTAAAGAAGTTGGGCTCATTGTATTGTACAAAGATGGTTATTTTGATGTTTATGCTTGAGTAACAGAAACACACATTTAAGTGTTTGCCTTAAAACAAAAAAATGAAAACCAAGTTTTCTGACTGAATACTAAGTGTACCTGTGACCTTGACCTAAAAAACCCCTCCCAGGCTGATTAAACATCCAATAATTGGGTGTTTGACAAAATATTTTACTTAGGGTAGTTATGAAAGACCTAGACTAATCCCAACATTTATACCTTAGATAAACAGCACACAACTACGATTATAAATCTCCTCTAGATGCAACAGCTAAAGATCTTACTAGCCCTCTGTTATTTTGAGAAAAGAGGAGGAAGAAAGGAAATCTTAGTCAGTGAGCTTACCTGAAAAATTGCCTCATCCATTGCCTCTAATATGAGCTTACCAAGCAGAATTAATTTCTTTGCCACCATGATCTTTTTTCTAGCCCAGAGATCAAGGTCATGTTACACCCACAGAACATCAACCAGATGTGCATTACTCTTCATGAGACGCCCTAATTCTTATTCTTGAGGCAGTAGCCACTAGTGGCCTATTAGCTATTATATATTATAAAATCTTTCATGTATTTCTGTCATTTACAGCTCCCACAAACTGCCCTTGCACAATACAGTAATACATAAGGCTTAGGGAACTGACCCCTAAAGAATATTAAATAGCTGTGTGGCAGCTAAAAACCAATTATCTCTGCCACTATTTAGATATACCTAAGTAATTTTTAGCATTTAGAGTGTTGGTAATGATCCCTCTTGGTGCTTTGATATCCCAAATCATGGCTAATCTATGCCCACTGCTTTGTGTTACAAATGCAAATGTGTTTGCATTGATATAAATGCTAGACAAAATTAAATTAATGCCTTATTATTTTCAAGCTTATACATGCAAAGCTACTTGGAGCTGTCATTTTCTTTTCTATGATCTAATTACAAAGCCTAGAGGGATACAGAGAGGAAACCAAGTATTTGAGGAAATGGGATATGCATGCTCCAAGGGTAGTCACGAGCTCAGCTGTGCAGGAGGAAAGCCCACCAAGCTTAAAACAGGTTAACAGCCAGCAGAATGTGTAGGAACCATAACAAATACCCAAGGATAAATGGAAAAAGCATCCCAGGAGAGCACTGTAACTGCCATGTGTAGGAACCTGTGTAGGAAACAGCTATTTTATGCAATGTTAATAGAATAAGTAAGAAAGCAAAGTTTGTGCACCAAGGCTGTGCTCCCTTGGCTGCACCCAGGCCCAGCAGGACCTAACTTTGCTGCCACACTGACAGAAGGGAGATGATGAGTCCTATTTCTAATGAAACCACCCGTCCTTCATGGTAACAGGCAATTTCTGAGATTTTTTACTCCAAGTTGGTGATTCTCCTGTTCTGTGCAGATTTTTAAGCATGCCTGGAGACAATTCCATCAGAGTAATAAAGATAATCTCAGGTGGTTTCAAGGAGATTGAGGGAAATAGGAATAATGATGTTTCATATGATCAAGCAGAGTAGCATTTTAAAAAAGGAGTATTATGGAAAAGGAAGTAGTTAACTTGTAAAATTTTACCTGGGGTAAAAATGATCCATTATGCAGTAGTTATGTAGCGTGATTCCTCCCAGCAAGGCCCACATCAAGGCCCAAAACTTCCCTACATTTAGATAAAAAGGGAATAAAATTATTCAGGGTTCTGCATTCCAGTACACAACAGAATCATTTTTACCAAAGTTGCCACACAAATATTTAAACTACCTGTGCAATATTTAGAGCTCTGCATGATTTAAATGTCTTCCCAACTTCAGAAATTAGCATTGCAACTTTGCAGCTCCTAAGCAAGTTGCTTCTACAATAATAGAACTTTAAAACTCTGTGGAAGTATATGTTAGAAATTGCCTGTTCAAAGAAATTTACGATTTTATTATAGCTGCATATTGACTATTCCTACAATAACCTGAAGGCAGAACCAAACAGTTTATTTATTCAAACTGCAAATGAAATCGGGCAAGAAAAGTAATTAGCAAGCAACAAAAAATAATGGAAAAGCACCATAAAAGCGGTTTTGAATTTATGTGGGTTGTCAGATAGTTAGAAAAATAACAGCTTAAATTTAAAAAGATCAACATTTTTTTTTTACACCCAGAACACAGTATATAAAGATTAACCAGAAGCTGGTTTTGAAAAAGCCCAGAAATCACAGGGTACTCTGAACAGTGCCCAGCCACTGCTGCTTATGAGCAGAAATGCTAACTCAAGAATCAGAGGGGCTCCTACAGGAACCCTGGGGAATAGATTGAAGCAATGCAAATAATATAAACTAAAAGAAACTAATTTTCCACAGTACAGATCCTGTGGAGGGTTCTTCCCTCTGCAGTATTTAATTTTTACATTAATAGGCTACATTTCTTGCCTGTGAAAATGAAAACTTCTTGGAAGTAGGAAGTTTTCTGTGGGGCCAATGATCTGCTCCATTTTCCTGTTAGCTATACCCCCATAGAGCAAATTCTCAGCTGCAGCCCTGCCCCAGCTCAGACACCAGAATGCTCCATAACCAGGCAGGTCAGGCCGTCTGACTTTCTGGAACTTTGGGTTCCACACTGCTGCCTAACCTCCTCACCCTCTGAGGAAGGACTTCAGTTTCCTGAAAAGGCAATAGTTCCTCACATTTCTGAACTGAGTTTATGTCACCAGTTAGCTATTTTGGGGAGAAATCTGAGTGTCACTTCATGCAGCAATGTTGCTCAATCCCATTAAATCCATTTTCCTGTCTACTCTCAATCCTCTGCCTCACCTGTTCAGTCCCTTTCATTCTAGCTCCAAATCTGCCCATTGCAGTTTTGGTTTAATTCTCTCTGAGCTGGTTTCCATTCACATGTGATGCTCTTTCCCAGCTGGGGAGGCCAGGGGCAGGAGGACACAGGACACACAGAACAAGCCCCAGGAACCCAGAACAACACAAACCCAAATTGCCCAGGGCCCTGGCCAGGGCTGTGCCAGCACACAAAAATGCACCAGCAGTGCCAAAAAAAGATCATGGTGGTTTTTTCTTTTTTACCTATGCTAAAACCTGCTCAAAATACACTCTTCTTTAATAGGACTCTCTCATTTCCCCAGCCCTACAAATTAATTCATTTATGGTTTTACCCATGCTACCTTCTATTCCCCAATTGCAATGCTATTTTTATAAATATTTTCCTAGTGCTTAATGCAGCTATGAATTTCATAAAGCTCAAGGTAAAAGCAGCAACAGCTGGATTATCACTTTGGGGTTCTGTTTTTGCATGGCCACTTTGTTCTCAGTGTGGAACGAGAGTAAATAATGGCTATTACTATTTTGATGAATAAGCCCCCAGTGAGGACATAATCACAATTTCAAAAATAAAAGGGTGAGTTCTTATGCTTATTTTGGATATTTGTATTCCTTTTGACTGAATGGTCTCTTATACTATAGTTTACTAGCAAGGCATATAATTTGTTTCTTTTTTAAATCTGGAGCAGAATGTTCCTGAATAACATAAAATCCAAATTACAACCCCCACCATGTAGCTATGGCTTGTAAAGTCAGCCTCTGCAATAAGCATTAGGGTTTCATGAAAACCACTGTAGGCTTTTGTCGTTGATTTTTACAAAATATACTCTAGCAATCAGATGTGAATCAATGTTCAAAGTCTTGAAGATCTCTAATCATGAGAATTTGAAGCAAGAGAATGGAAAGAAAGAATGAAAAAAGTATTACTTCTGATATTTTGTATTATATCAGTAGCTGCAGTTCAGTGACCAGTCATTTGTCTGAGACAAATATCTAAGACACTCCTGCCTGAAAAAATAGGGGTAAGGAATCAAAATAAACATTTTGGATTTAAAGATGTTCCTAAAACAAATTGAGGAATTAAAAAAAAAAGCCAAGCAAACAACACATGCAAACGAAAAAAACCAAACCAACAAACCACGAAATCGCAAAAGAAACACATAATGTACAGAAAATAAGAACATTTTGTCTGAACAGAAAAATATCAGTGGCTCTTTTAATATTTTATAGTCTCACAATTCCTTCTCCTTTGAAAAATAAAGACAGAAAAGGCACTCTAACTGGCAACAACAATAAGGTGCATAATCCTTCCACAGACAAACTCTACTTAAAGGCAGAGAAGATTACAGAAGTATTTTAGTACAGAGCAAGACTGCACTTTTGGAAAGGATTGCTTAGTTATCCTCACATCATAATGTTGCTTTTGCATCACAGACTGAGTCTGGAGGAAACAAATGAAATTTATTCTCCTTCCTCTTGAAGCTTAGCCAGATGTGGTCCAGGGAGCAATTCTTTCTGAACAGACAGCCCTGGGTGGAGCCTGAATAACTCCCATGCAGTTGGGATAGTGTGGCCATGGCTTCACCACACAGGTACTGGCCCAAATTACTTCCACATGCAGATGAATTCAGCAAAATTTTTGCTTTCAACCTGCACAAACTGGGAATTCCTTTCCCATGCTCTATTGAGATGATGGCATTATAGATAAAATTATACAGCATTTATATCTGATATATTCTATTTCTTTTCAAATACTTTCATGGGGACTTTCTCAATCTGGGTCAATGGCAGAATAAAAATTATGTACACTGGGTACTCATGTCTGCCAGGTAACTGATTGTTTATTTGAGTATTTAATCTAAAATAATCCTACTTTAATTTCCCAATGTACACATTTTAAGGCAAAAGAAGTAGCAAAGGAATTTAAAAACTCCCTAACATTTTGGATGCACTAATACAAGTTAGTTGCATTTAAGTCCACAATTAAGTTCTTTACTAGAGAGGAGTCCGAAAATATCTCCTGTGTATTATCTCCTAGTTTCTTTCATGAACTGCATTTTATCTCCATTAGCTTAAGGCTACAGCACCTCTGACAGATTACCATTATTTTAAATCTGTTGTACAGGAATAAATCTGTAGTACGAATACAATCAAGTTTCATATTGAAAGTTCTAGCAAAAACAAGTTTATCATACAAGAATCCAGCTCCAAAATTTCTATCCTCAAAGTGTTTAATGGGATATTAAAATCCATGGGTTCTAAATGTATTTCATAACATAGCAGTGTGCAGGCTTATGGCAGATGGTAACAGGTGACTGGGCTCAGCCTCTGTATGTTTGTCTTTTTCCCAGCTCCTTAAAAGGCAAAACCCACTCGCTTATCTATGTCCTCTGCAGAAAAGCTCATGGGTCCTGGCCCTGAGAGTTTACCTACAAAGTGAAATCCAATTCCTGCTAAAATTCTTATTGACCCCAATACAGCCATGGCTTCACCCAGTGACTTCACCACAATATCTCCACAAGCAAGCCTGGAAAATGCCCTTACACTGATTCTGCAGCTCCTTGGATGCCAGCACCCAAAATTCTGCTGGTTTTCTCAGGAGCACTCCTGAAAAGAAGGCACAATTAGGTGCTGTATGTTGAGACATACCTGGATAGCTCTGAATGCACCAAGTCTCCAAACACCCACCGCTCTAACATAGCAACTTTACACACAGGAATGATTCTAAATGACAGACCTTAATCAAGAATAATACCCAAACACAGGCATGAATAGGAGACATGTACCAGGTTACTCTCTAATTAAATATGGAGTCGAATATTTAAAATTAATTAATATGTTAAACCCTTGGGGTTTATCTCCAGACAGAGATTCTATAAGAGAATCACTGGATACATAAATTATCTTTCAAGGGAACAACATTTGTTTATCAGTTCATTTGTTTTGCAATATTACTCCCAGAAATTACCTCTATATATGTATTGGCCCACATCACATTGATCTGTAATTAAAAGATGATTATTAGAGTTACAGTGTCAAACTATCAGAAATTAGACATATACAGTCCCAGTTCCTCCTTTAGTGCTGACTCCCAGTCTTCCTTTCTTCTACCCATCCCCATTCCCAGTCCTGTTCTGTCTCTCCACCACCCTAACGCAATCAGTGATTGTGCAGATAAATCCCCATGTTCACAGATCTGGATCTCAGACCCCACACAGTCCTCAACAAGCAGGAGATCTAATGGCACTAACAGTGTACTTAATGACAGCTCTTCTTAAATTATAATTTGTGGTCTCTGTTTTCCATTTCTACAGAACCTCAGCAAAAATCTCGCCAGTATGAAGTATTACCATCACAGAGTAACAGAAAGTCACTGACAGAAGTCATAACAGAGAGTAATCTCTGCCACAGAGAAACTCATGCAAACAATGAGATGGGATGCAGCAAAAGCACCCTTTTCAAAAGGTACAACACCTTTTCTGCTTAATTCTACCGCAGTTCACCAAAAATATGCATCAAAATAAATTTAAACACTTCTAGAATTTTTTTGTTATAAGCAGGGAGGAAATTGTCAGCAAAGCAATAAGATAATAATGCTGGGGATATCTTCTGGTGAGAACTGAACCTTAAAGGTCCTTTACGTATGTATTTTGATGTTGTTTAGCTATACCAGCAACTCATACTCAGTAAGGAATAAAGGATTCCCTTAACTTTCTTCTGATTGGATTAAGCTTGGATTCACTAAGATCAACTCAAGGTTTATCTGAGGTCACTGAGTATGTTTTTTATGAATGTATTATGGCTTTCTCTAAAACACTTCTGGAAGGTTTCAAAACCTTAGCATGACCAGAGAGGAACTACACCACTTTTCCAGTCAAAAGAAGCACAGTTAATAATCTATAACTGCTTGATAAATGTCATTCTGCAGTGTTATAAAGTAGCTGGTGTTTGTCAAGGATGCCTCAAGGCAAGGGTAAATGATTATTTATTTCAAAATTCAAAGGGTAAACAGAAATTTAACTGGCATTAAATACTCTGGCATTAACTGGCATAGAGATGCTCTGGCTGGAAGAATATCAGGCAGCTTTTCCCAGTCTAGAGTAAAGGGTTAATTTTCATTGCCCCTTGCATGGCCACTGAGAGGTATTTACTGCCACCTTACTTTTCCCTACTAACCTTTAATTTACAGTTCTTCCAGTGAGGTTGTTACAAAGGCCTGCGAAGTCATTAGCCAATTCCTGAAGTGCTGAATCCAGAGATAGGCACTATCCCAGGGCATGCACAGCAGTAAAGCACCTCACAGTCAAATCAAAATAAAATTATTTGAGAATGACAGTGATTTAAATAAACTGGTTTCAGATTGGTTTATTGTAATTCTACAAATAAGCTTGTATATTTTTGCTGACACACAGGTTTTCAAAACAAGTTTCAAGACAGAAATTAAGTTCAGAAATGTTTTAAATACACACAGAAAAAAACCCAACAACAACAAAAAACCAACAAACAAGCAAACAAAATGCCAAAAAAAACCACCAAAAAAACCCAACCAAAAAAAACTAATCAAACCAAGAAGAAACAAGACCCAGCAGGCTGATTTAGAAGCAAATTCTGACATGTGTACTCCAATTTTTGAATCAGGCTGATAAAAACATTAAGTCGTCTCTAATCGGCAATAATGAATGCAATCAAGCCATCTCAAGAGAATTATGTTTCTGAATAAATGCCAATTGCATGATTAGAAGTTACTTATCACTGTCACCACTTTATTCTGAACAAATGTAAGTTTTCTTTTTTCTTTTTTGCAACTTCTAGACATACTGTATATAAAATACACCATTAGGAAATTAAAAATCACACAATGGCCTCAGGATAAGATGCTTAAATTATAACTATTCATTTTGCTTCAAAAATCTCTCTCTATTTGAGCAGTATTTTAAACATATTTGAATATGCAATCTTGGCAGAATATGGTGTGCAAATATAGCATTGTATGTTATTGTTAGAAAACTAGAAACCATTTCTAAAATGCTTCATTTTCTTGTAACTGAGCTTGTGTGACTTTTGAACCTGTGGAGTTGTCTGCACTCCCTCAATGCATCCCAGCACAGAGGCTGAAGAGTTTCTCTTGTTTGGTGGCAGAGATCAGTGATATTTCTGACTACAGGAAGATACCACAGGTGTAACCCATAATGCTCCTGAATGAGCAGGTTTTGGAGTTTTCCTGCAGAAGCTTTTTCATGCATAACCCCAAAATAAACTGCAAAAGAGATTACTCCCCCAGAAAACAAAATGGTGAAAGTTCTACTTACTTCTTTGTTTCAATTATTATTTTCTTTTATTTTCATTAGTGGAAAATGCTTCTCAATAAATCTGTCAGGATGTTTTCCTAGAGCCATATTTGAAGGACTCAGACAAAAAGAAATGGAATGATTAAGTAGAAATAATTTTTCTAAAAGCAGAAGGGTAAAACTAACATCTTCACTTCCTATCAATGAATAACAAATCTCCCTTATTTGTAAAAAAGAGAGAGGAAACTTTTCAAAACCTCTATAAATTAAATAGCAGCAACAACCTGAAGCAGTCTAGACAGTAATGACCCACAGGTCAAGAAATGATAAGTATTTTAAGCAGGGATGTTTATTAAATTCAAAGCATTTGAATTTTAATTCACTTTCAAGTAAAAATGGTAATAGCTATGTATCCTTTCATGTCACATAAGTAGCAAAGATATCTTACTTTAATTCAAACAGGGGATCCATATGCTCAGGTCTCAGCCATCCTCTGCCTGAAAAGGTCAGAAGCAGTATATCAGGATCTGGAGAGTCAGAATTGAGGAAAAATTTGGATTCAAGACCAGAAACTTTGCCTTATTTCATGTTTAACAAGCTCCTGCAGCAAAACCTACCTGTGCCAAATTGAACAAAATAATCTTGATGCTGCAGAAAGTCCTTACCTGTGGGAGTCATTGTAGGAAAACACAATTTCCAGTAATGTGATATTGCTCATGCAAGCTGAGACACAAATATCAAAACAGCTTCTCCAAATAATATACAATGGGGACTTGAAGGTTTGTAGGCTTTTTGCTGAAATCTTGTGTTATGATTATTATCACATCCAAGCTGGCAGACTAACAACAACAGAGCACAAACAGCAATATCATGCCATGCGAGCAGTAAGTGAATGACAATATTATAGCATTTCCCCTTAAAATAGATCTCTATAGTCTGTTCTCTGCTGTACAAACAAAAACAGGACAAAATTAGGCAGAGAAGTAACTACCCTTTGTCATGAGTGACAGGATTAAGGGGGTGTTTCAAATTTCAGGTGTCCTGGAGAATGCTTAAACAAATGTGTTAAATGCCTGCTTATTCTTAAAATACTTACCAAAAGTGATTCTAAGATTAAATCAACCTATGGTAAATTTAGACGAAAAATCTTAAGCATACACTTGTTGAAGTGAATTAAGAGCAACACATTTTGCTCTTGTTTCCTTAACCCTTTCAAAAATACCATCCTCACTATGCTTTATTTTTGTTGTAGCTCCTAGTGGACCAACAGACATTGAGTTCTTAAAGCACACATCTATGAAAACACTCAGGATATTTACCTTTTATGAGATTTTTGTCTCACCAGCTGCAAGAGGGATCCACATTCCTGTGAGTACACTCAGTGGGACTAATTCCACATTGAATTGGAAGAAATGTAGATTCAACAGAAAGAAATCCACTCAAATACTCAAATATACTGAGACATCCTGTTTTATACCACTGCAATAAAGAGCAATAATCAGCACAATAATTTCTTTTGGAACAAAGAATGCCTAACTTAGGATTTAGGATAAAATTCACCCTTTGAAGCAGATGACAGAGTAGGAACTTGTAAACAGGACAGAGGAAGCACCCACCAATTCATGTGCCTGGCAGTGAGAAGGAACTTGTCCTAGGCATTCCAGACACACAGTATGCCATATGGGCCCTTGTAGACTAAGCATGAATTCTACTTCCAAAATGTCTTAACATTTATTAAAACCTCTGTCTTCTTATTTCTTATATAGTTTATTGTAAGTTCAGAGTGGATAGGATGTGTCAGAGAGCAGGAGGCAATCAGGAAAAATAACTTCACTTTCAGATTCTCCAGGAGACATTCTAGCATGCGCTGATAATAATTGTCTGACACACCAAAGCACAAGGAAATAGATTGATTCTCCTGCTTGCCTCTGGCCATTTCACCTGGTCAGGATTATCACATTGAACACCTTGTCACAGGCCAGGGCTACCACTCTTTGGTTACTCAGTCACAACTAAACCCCCCATACACTTAGCAAAAACATGGATGTGAAGTGTAAAACACAATTTTAATTATTAGATTTTAAACTCTTGAAGAGGTAAGTAAACAGCCTTTTACAAAAACACATTCATGGATGTTGTAGTTTTTATACAGCTAGGAGATTTTTTTTTCCCTCAATAAACCAAGCATACCTGTAATACAATCTTTTGTAGCTAGAAGCTACAAAAATAGTCAAGTTCCAAGGTATGAAAATAGTGACACATGAAACAATAAGAAAGTCTCCAAAGCTGAATGAATTTTCAAAGAAAAAAAAAGGAAAGTCATTAAGATAGAATTAAAATCAGTGGAAAAGGAATAGCTTGAATAAAACAGATTTAATCATAAGGTTGATTGAGATGTCTGTGAGAGCTGATAATGGTTTGCAACAAGACTTATAAGTAAATTAGGTATAATAGAAAGGTGTTAATTTTTAATGAGAAGAACTCTCATTAGAGACAAAAAAGAAATCTAGACTTTTAAAGTTTTACATTTCATTTATGATGGTATCGGAATTTGGTCTGAACCCATGACACATTTACCAAGGCTTTTTTGTGATTTCAAGGAGGTTTGCTGGCTGTGTAAGTTTGTAAAGCAGTCATTCCTTATTGTTTTCTGCTTATAAATATAAAATTAAAAAGAAACATTTGTAATGGCTTCACAAACATAACTTTATTTTCTAAAGATCATCTAGCTATTTATTTCCATATACTTGTACCATAAATTGTTTCTCAGTTGTTGTTCTATTACTGATCCAGAACTAAAAAAGAAAGTTAGCATTTTTTAAAGAAAACAATGAGGAAAAGGGAAGTCAGTACCAAAGCTCCATGCCTGAAACACACTTTTTCATGAGAGCATTCACTGCGGGGAGCTGCAAATCCCCATAGGCACCTTTTACCTGGTCAGTGCTCTGAGGTTGTGAGAGGGCTGGAAATTAATCCATAAACTTGATGGCACAGATTCTGTAGGACAGGAGAGCATCCTGTCCCAGACCCTGTTTTGCAGGACACTCAGAAGTGCTGCCTGATCTCTCACAGAGCTGGAAGCTGCCATTTCAGATACTGAAACCTGGCAGCAGTGCTTGGACCTGCCAAGAGGGTCTGTCAGTCTCTGCTGCACACATGGAGAAGTTGCTACTGCTAAAGCAGTTCATATTGAGCTGAGCTCCAGTACTCAACACTAAGCTCATCCTGTTCCCAACCTGCCTTTTTTAAATATCATATTTCAGCTCCTAATGTACACAGAAGCAGAAGTTATCAGAGAGATCAGTACTCACAGCAGTGCTGAACACTTCCTGCCTTTAGAATCCATTTGTTTGTCTCCTCACTTGGGACAGAGAGGAGCTTGAAGGAACTTTCTTCCCATATTGCAGTAGCAAAGAATACTGCAGGATGGGAGAAAAACCAACAACCCAAAAGCATTGCATTAACATTCTGAAGAGAGATCAAAATGGGATTTACAGAGTAAGCAATTAATGTACATATTAAATCTGACAGAAAAATAAGACTTATTAATGAACTTGGGTCTATTCCTACAGCATCTGTAGTGGTTATGGATATGGCTTTGAAGTCACAGTGTACTAATGAGAATATCAATAGAGCTCAGCACATTGTATCATAGCATGTATCCACTTTATTCTGCCACAGGGTAAAATATCTTGTCAGACAGCAACAAAATCCCGAGAAATTTTACAGATTCATGCTGTAAAAAGCCTTGATAACACTTGGTCAGGAAGAATCTTCACCGCTTAAGCCAGATTTAAACCCCAGCTTTGCTGATTCTCTTTTACTGTGCTCTACTCTTACCACATGTATCAGCTGTTTTCTCACACGACCATTCAATGCAGTTCCATTACCTGTGACAGTGCAAATATCAGTGCCTGTATTGTGGTGCCAAACAAAGGACTTTCCTCTAAAAAAGCGTAAAATATTAGCACAGTTGTTTGATAGGACTGGCCAGTGTTAGTATTAAGGATCTTACATCCAAAGCTACCAAAACCAGCCATCAATCATCTCAAGCTGTGTGTGCAGGCTGGAGCTCCTGTGCAGACACCCACACAGGCCCTGGTGCTCCCCTGAGCATGAGGCCAGCTGGGTGCATTGGAAGCACTGGTCACAATGCAGAAATAAAAAGATACAAGTGGTTGTATTTAAACTCCTCAGTTTTGCATATGCCTGTTTTACTTAAGGTAACTAACCACAGGTATATCACATAACCTAGTAGCATCTCTTTTGGGGAGGAAATACAGAATTATAATCTTCCATAAACAGCACAGGATAAAGAATTAATAGATTTTAGAGTTATATTTTTTCATATTTATCAATAAGTCATGCACAATGCTGCACAGGAAAATTATATTCTCAAAATCATCCAAAGCACGCTAAACACAGTTTGGAGATGCTAAAGCCAGGCTAGAAAAGAAGTCATGGGATTCATTTTCTGAATACAATTTGAGAGGGTAAATTTGGGATTTTAGAGCTAAGCCATCTGACTATCATTCTCCATGAAATGCTTTGAAGAGAACAAACACTGCACAGCAAAGGTGACCTTTAATACAACCCCTCAAAGTTTCATCCCACAAGAGGACCTGGTCACAGAGCAAAATCTTAGTAATGCAAAGTATGGCTGCTCTCTTTTCCCTTGTTCTTCTATAGTAAATACTATTGACTTCCATATATTCATCCTATTGATTTTTTTAATCATATGCACAGAAAAAAGTGATTTCCAAATGTTCACTCTGTCACTGTGACTAATCATTTTCTCTCTTGTCTAGATTTTACACCTTGAGGAAACAGTTGCATCAATGATATTTTCCAATAAAGTGTCCTGCAGATGTAAAGAGTTAAGCATTAATGACCAGATAAACCTTATAAAGAGCAGGATGCTCTTTACTGTATAGTTTAAATACTAAATAAATCCAATAATCAATAAGAAATAAGAAGCAGAGTACAAATTTGCCTAGTTTAAATAATTCCCTTCAGCCATATAAAATGCACTGCTGACTTATTAGTTTCTTTTTCTCTTAAGTTCTTGAGTGAAAACTCTTTATGTCTTCCTGCTTCCTTCTCATGGGTTGTTTTAATGTTCATAAAAATGCAGCTGTAGCACAAAATTCACTAAGAAATATTGCAGACTTTAACAATATTAACAAATGCTGGGGTTTTTTTGACATTATTTACTAAAATGTCACCTGAAATGAAATTTGAAGCGTGGTATAAAAAGTTGTCTACAAGGCAGCTTGTTTCGAGGTTATTGGGATGTTCTCAGTTTTACTGGATGCTTAAAGCACTGGCCAAAGTGGTTTCTGAGTTTTTTATGGTTATCTCACAACGTTGTCAGAAGATGGGAGATGGGACAACAAAGTATCTGTGTTACAAAAAAAAAAAAAAAACAAAAACAACAACAAAAAAAAAAAAAAAAAAAAAAAACCAAAAAAAAAAACCAAAAACAAACACCCAAAAAACAAAGAGTAAAAGTGAAAACTACAGGCCAGGCAGTTACCTTCAGTTCCCCCAAATTTCTGCAATAACTTTTCCACCTCCTTGTAACCGTCTGGAAGGCAGTACAGGAAACTCTGCAGACTGTATAGATGTCCCAGCACCAAAGTTTCTTTTTCAACAGGCTAGAGGACCTTCTGTGCTGAAGAATTCCAAATTACCTTTTCAAACTTCAGGTTTGAATAAATTGAAGTAAAAAATTAGGATAAGTAAAATTTGATACCTGAGTAGGAGCATCAGCTGACCAAAAAACAAACAAACAAAAAACCCCAACACTGCTTAGGGGTCCTTAAAGAGCCTGTAAGGGGAAAATAATCATTGGTAAAGGTGAGCACTCGCTTTCAAAATTTATCTTACTTTCAGTAGAGTTCTGTCCTAAACTCTTCAAAACCTACTATGTTTCACTCTATAAAAAACTGGTGAATAGTCCATAAATTATGAATTACTCTGTGATATATGTTATTTCATACTTTTAATTCCTACAGTTTTTAGTTTCTTATAATTGAACTAAGTGACAAATCCTATGTACAGACCTTGTGGGCTTATATTGGAAGTCTAAAGAAATATTTTCAGAGCAGCTACACTGCATGTGAGAAAAAGGATGAGAGCGAAAAGTTACCTGTGAGAAAAGATAAAACAGAATCAGTGTACACAGTCAAGTAATGCATGTGAGAAAATAAAACTAAACCTGAAAAAAATGAAAAATAACTCAGGCAAGAGACACACAAGAAATTAAGGACAAAAAGCTAGATCTCAACTTTACTGAAGTAATTTAGTCATACACTTTATTGTTTCTAAAGTTATTTGAAAGCCCAGTTAAACACAAAAGCTCACTTTTGCTCCTTTCTCAATTTAAATCCCTTTCCTGGGGAGCTACTGGTTTTAAGGAAGAGCTGGTCCCTAACGGGGTTCTCACATGGAGATTTAACTGCAAATCACTTCTCAATGCGGTTCCATTGCAAATATAACTATTTACTGTGAATATTCTACCACACTTTAATGAGTCAAATGGGCCATGTATTTATGTTTGTGCTCTCAGATCTAATTGAACTAAATAACATAAGTAATATTAATAATTATGATTATAATTATAATTGTAATTATAATTTTACAAATGCCATTATGGATATTTAA